TGTTCGGATCGGTTAGTTTGGCGCACGAACACACAGCCCCCGCCCTCAAGTACAATAACAAACAACCAGCTCAAAAGTCTGTTCGGTGGGCCGTTCGAAGTTTGCGTGCGGCGGCACACCAGTCTCTCGGATGTCTTATGACTTTAGACATAAAGAAATTTAGAAAAAAGGAAGATTAATTATAATAAACCACGTTCGTGGTTTTGAAAATGCCTTTTTACCCCTTAGCACAACCACTCGTGCTTTGTTATCTATGTAAAACACTGATATTTGTGCTTTACGCCACTTCTGACACAACAGATACGTATCATACTATGTTTGTTTTATATTCGATGATTATTACAAAATTGACTTCTCATAAAACCAGGCTGTAAAGGAAAATACCTACGTAATAATAAATAGTTTTCATATGTTTACTTTATGTTGTTATAAATAATTTAACTATATCGTACACGAAATTTTTTCATATACTCCTACCGCAAGAAATATAAACACTACTAGTACAACAAGAACGTCTACAGTCATCCCTATCAAACCTCACGAATTCCCAATAAAATCGAGACGGTCTCTTGTGAAACTGGAAAACTTTAGAAATAATAGTCTACATTCTTTTTAGAGAGTGACAAAGACAACGTAGATAATCGAAAGGAGAATTATAAGAAGATCAATAAAAGTAAAAATATAAAACGAATATGTTCTAAGTCACTGAAGGGTTTCGACGTGACTCTAGAGGTAATTACGCAATAGGGTCAACCGATTGTTTACTCCCTGTTAGGTTAGAGGGGTGCGACGGACTTTCTCCGCCCCTCTTCCAGACAAGTGGACCGATCAAACGTAGTCTAAAGTAACCCCTTTGACTTCATAGTAATAGGTACCTATTGGACACGTAGTGTCGTCAAACCCTTTTTTTTTTTAGTTCCGAAAGGAATCCTACACACCGTGACAGTGATTTTCCTGAACTGCGTTCGAGAAGCTCTCGTCAGTACGTCCACAACCTCACAAGACTGGGGTAAGATGTGAGGTAATCCGAGACTTACACGGTTACC